TGAAAGTTAAATGACAACTCAGTCAGCAAAGAACAGACCTGTTTAACCAGGACTAAGAGAATCCTTGTCATCCGCTCATGGTGCAGGTACAGGACACCTCAACTCACAGCCCATTCATGGGCAAGAGTCAAAATTCTCCACCACAACAGGACGGTCACTGCCACCAAACCCTTCTACCTTTCCCTTGGGAGATCTCCGGCTAAGCCAGCCTTCAAAACCACAGCTCAAGTCCAGGGACAGAAACAAACCTTGGGCCCAAGGGAGCGATGACCAGAGAGGAATGCTGTCTTGCCCAAGAGTGTACTGTAAGAGGCTCACTCTCTGGGTAGCTTTCCAAGGCAGGCACTGTGCTTATCCTAACCTGAAGTGCTCTCCCCCGGGGCAAGTGAAGGTCAACACAGGGAACTACCATGGACATGTGGAGCAAACTCATACCTCATCTGAAGCAAACACCAGGTCCCCCACCCAATAACAACCCAATGGGAAGGGTCTTAGATTTCAGACCCTCTATCTTATTTTTCAGAACATTTCAGATTGCACATTTTCTAAGATTCAGCACATGCGCTTTAGACTTTAGTAGACTGACAAATGAAGTCCAGATTGTGTTTAAATTACTTAATTCCACTAACAGTCCTGCAACTTCACTGTTCTTGGACTTATTATACCACAATCCCTTAACCACAATCCCAAAACCTACATTTTGCCCCCAATTTTGGTGCCAAAAATAATTTAGCAGTAACACCTGGCCTGAACTCTTGTGAAGCTATTTATAGTCTTAGCGGATCCCACTTAAGTGAATATATTTCACTGAAAAGTGCCAATGTGGTAACGAGGCACGTTACCAAATACAGAACATATGTACCATACTTCCATTCTAAAAATGTGAAATATTCTGTATTCAAATCTCAGCTACTGTAGGTTAACATATTCTACTGATATATAATACTATAAAACATAAATACACTCCCTAGCATTGTCTGCCAAGAGAGCCTAGACACAATGATACCCTGGAAGCAAGGATCAACGAGCACACCTAGAGCCCAGACCTGTTTCTGTTATCACTTTCCCATAAAAAGAACAAGGTTCCTTGGAGAAGTGGCAGACTCCAGGAGTGAGCTGGGATAATACAAGATGAATCTGGCGATGCCAAAAGTAAGGAAGTGTGCCCTCAAAACACCAGGATGGGGACATGTCGAAAGGGGACAACAATCAAACTCCCAATGGCCAAAGCTGGAAAAATTTGAGCAGCAAAATAAATACTGATAATATTAATTATAATACAATATTGATTAAAATAACCTAAAGGATAAAATAAATACTTTTGCATCCATACTGATATAAATAATAAATAAATAAATAAATAAATAAATAAATAGGAGAGAAGGGACAGTTCTTCCTTACAGAAGAATTCTAATTAATAAATGCATAAGAAATGAAGGAAACAAAATCACCTTAAGAACATCATAGTAATAATGCCACAGGCAAATCCACCCTTGAGTGTTGAATTAGTGAGAGGCTGAAAGAGAAAAAAGGTATCTGCACAGTATGTGGGAATGGATTAACCTTGCCCAAGGTGAGGTACGGTCTTTACTCCAGGCTCAAGGTCCTTAGAATGTCTTGCCTGGTAGGTATGTTTGTTTACCTGGGGGTCCTGGGCCACTCCACATAGCCTAACAATGTGACTTATAGCGGAGACCTTGGGGCCCTGATGAATGGCTGGAAAGTAAGACTCAGGTGAACTGCCCCAGTTGGCAAAACACTGTGTGTTGTCACACAGTGGTAGAAGCAGCAATGTCCACAACTCTAGGGAAAGGCCAACTGGAAGCTTCACTCTAGGAACACTCCTGCACCCTGCCCTATCTATGCCCCTGACTTTATTCTATATCCTTTCAGGGCAATAAACCATAACTGTGAGTTCTGAGTTCTTCTAGAAAATTATTGGAGACCATCAAACTTGCAGTTGGGTGTCAGAAGTGAGGGTGATCTTACAGACCCTTGAGATTTGCATACCATCTCAAAGTATCTACCTCAAAATAAATAGTTATTAATTACAAAAAGAAAATAGTAATTTCACAATGGGGAAACCTGGCAGACAAGACAATACCTTAATCCAGCGATCAAGGTTATCATAACCTGTAATAATATGTTGATTACATGTACCTTGATGCAGTGCAATAAGAAGGGTACCTAACTTTGGCTGCAAAGGTTCCATAATCTCATCAAATCAAGAGAAAGCATCAGACAGACCCAATGGTGGGACGTTTCAGACTAAGGGACCAGCACTCTTCACAGGCATCACGAAAGTCAAGGAAGGGTTGAGGAACTGACAGACAGGAGGAGGCTAAGGAATAGTGATAACCAAATGCAACATGGGATCCCGAATGGGATCCTGGAACAGAAAAGATACTTGTGGGAAACTGGTGTAATCCAAATAAAGCCTGCTGTCCATGATCACGAGTTAGGGAAATGCGCCATCACTGTGGGAGGGGCTAACATGGGGGAGGCTGGGTGAAGATACCACAAATGGAGGACACAAATAGGTGACAATATGTACAGAATATTGCCAATGAGGGAAGCATTTGTCTGCAAAATCTAATAAAATTCTAGAAAAATAAAATGTCAGAAGGGATAAACACAGTTAGCCCCAAGGGTTTTGGAAAAGGGACTGTGGGCCTATATTTATATTTCTCTATCTATCAGCTGTTTACATTACTTCAAAAGGGCTTCTCAAGGATGGTATGTGGGTGGCAAAATGTGAGCCTTTGCACTTACAGAAAATTCTTCTACTGCATTCATATATGAAGGCTGAATACTTGGCAGGTTCCAGATTTCTCCCATAAAAGTCTATAAAATGTTTAAATCAATACATGTATAAAAATACTTTGACCACTATTGTAAGATGCTTAAGAAACCAGCTCATTATTTTGAAAACTGATAAAAGAGAAAGATTCAGAAATTTATCCTGACTTTCCTGTATGAAGTGTATTACGGTAAAAAAAACTTATGAGAAGTTGCTTTTCAGGAGTATCCTAGCTAGTAATGAGAAAGGAATGACAGAATATCATCTTTCTGAACCCCTAATAGATAGTCACTGGTCATCACCAGCTGCTAACAACACAGGACAGACCACCAAACGTCAAGACCCACTGGAAGAGCCCCTCCCACCACCTGCAAAGGAGTTTTGCTACCCTCGCCCCAAGAATCAAATTTCAATCAGCTCAAACCTATAGATGTAATTACTAATTTTTGTTTGTTTGTTTTAATCTTGAGGATATTTTTTCCATTGCTTTTCAGAGAAAGTGGAAGGGGGGGAGAAAGAGAGAAACATCGATTGGTTGTCTCCCACAGGCACCCCAACCCGGGCCAGGATCAAGTCTGCAACCGAGGTACATGCCCTTGGCCGGAATCAAACCTGGGACCCTTCAGTCCACAAGCCAACACTCTAACCGTGGAGCCAAACTAGCTAGGGCAATGTAATTACTAATTTATAGGAAACACAGAAGACAGGAACCTGTTAAACTACACTATATCGATACAATCAGCAAACTCCACACTGGCCAGATTCTTCAACAAATACACAGGAGAGATAAAAGGAGAAACCTATAGATGTAAAAAAAAACTTAAGAAACATGCCAATCCATAGTAACATGTGAGCCTTATTTGGATTCTGATTCAAACAGTTATAAAAAACATTTATGGGATTTGAGACAATTAGAAGTTGAACACTTGCTAAATATTAAGGAGATAGTGTTAATTTTTAATGAAGTGATGATAGCATGATTAACAGATAGCTATGTTTTTTAGTGGCCCTGAAAAGATATTAAAGATAATGCTGAAATAATTTTAAAAACAATAATAAAAATATAAAACCACATCTATAAGTGATATACCAAAACAATTCAATGGATATAACATGTATTATACCTGAATGTTCATAGAATTTTTTTTTCTTCAAGCTGAGATTACCTATCAGGTTAAATAAATCATCATTTGGTTTCTTTCGTCAACTGTGCCTAATATGTGCTGAATTCCTTCATTCTATAAATCACCACCACACTTTCTTTTATTATTATCTCTAAAAGTTCTTTTTGGGCACTATGTGAACTGTGGAGGTAACCCTTCCTCAGTCACAATAAACACTGACATGTACGACATTTCTTACAGAACAATATTTTTTAAGAGAACTGACCAACAGAAAATAGGGAGTTGTTATTAAAGAAAAAGCCCTATATTATTAAATACAGAAAGATATAAAATTATATTGCTAAGCCTACATGCCCCTTTGACATTCTATAAATACATTTTAGATAAATAGAAAAGACAAATGAAATATATAAAATATTAAAAAGAATTCACTGTTACCTTTACAAAAGAATTTACCATAGTTTCCTTTAAGCACTACATCCCACTATTCCACTTTCAGGATGGACGGACAAATTGGAACATGAGGCCACAAACTAGCAGGTCTTGTTGGGTCCACTTAAAGTGTTTTTTTAAAAATTCAAAAAGGTACTGACATTTTAAAATCAGAAGATTTTGACGTAACTCTGAACTAGATACCCATAATGCCTCACGCCATCCAGGGGCTGGGGCTGGGGCCAGCAGCAGCCCTTCCCCAGGGTCTTCTCAATGCCAAGGTCAAGGGCCAGCAGCCATTTGGCATGAGATTTCTACCTCTATTTTCTGACACCTGGTCTGCTTTGCTCTTTACTTTGCAGCCTACCGGGTAATAGACACTGAAGTTTACAACCACTAGCTTTCACTGGTTTTTTTGGGTAAATAAAACATGTCCACACTGATGCTGGGAATTTTGCTGGTAACTTTTTTCCTTAAATTCACATAAAACTAAGGAGTTGATGAAAGGGCACTTTGTTTGAACATAAAAGTAATACAAAGAACATAAAAACACCTATTCTATGTGTTTCTTTTGTCCCTAATTAAGCCCCAAGGTAACTCTCAGAACCCTTACTCCCCCAGCACTGCAGCACACACAGCCTCACCTGCATTGCTCCCAGTTCCTCTCTGCTTTTTTTTCTTGGCTAGTTGAATGGCTCGGAAATCAGTTCTTGCTGAGCCCCCACTTTCCTGAGATCAAAGAAATGTGTGTCAGTCACTTGACCCAAACAGCAAAGCGAGGGTAGCAAAAGAACTACTGAGATGTATTAAGTCTGCTTCCTGAACAGAGTGGAGTCCAATACTCCTTGAGAATCTCCAGCAAGGCTCACCGAGAATCAAATGCTACATCCAATTACAGTGATAGCTACACAAAATCAGAGTTGGAACAATATACATAATTTTATTATCCAGAGAAGCAAAATTTATTCCTCCAAAGTCTAAAACACTGAAATATTTTATACAGAAACTGTTAAAAAATGAATTACATACTTCTCTGCTGTCTGAAGCAAATAACCAACCTTCCCCCAGTGATTCAGGATTAATTTACTGCAGTATTAATTCACTCCAACATTTTTCAAGCACGCCGCACAGTACTTATATGGCAGACCTGGGGAGGTCCTATTTCATATACCCACTGCAGAGGCCACTCTGGCAGCAGGTGCTCAACTCAGTATCTTACAGACCAAAACAATAATTGGTTACTGAATTCAGGAAGGTTACTGAGAGAGCCAAACAGTACTTAAATAAGACTTCAACTGTTGTAAATTTGTGAAATTTGTGAACTGTTGTGAATGTTTTATAAGAAAAAGTTTCTTATCCCTACAAAAAGAAAAAGAACCACCCTAAACAGCTCATGGCATACCTGTAACCCATTCACCACACACCATCTGTGCTCAGAGAATCGAGGCAGCCCAACGTCACACAGCTAGCGAGAAAATGAACAAGGGGTCAGGAACAAGGTTTGGTGGCTCCTCCTATCTCCACCCACAGTTAGGCCTCTGACGATGCAGTGGCACCAGAGAATGACTGCTTCCCAAGGCACCAAGACCCTGCACTCAGGCACTGACTTGCCACAAATCTCTGAGCCTCGGCCATCTCCCTTCCTGGCCCAGGGACCTGCACACCTGGCAACTGCTGCAGCCGCCAAAGCAGAGGTTAGCACATGTGGCTATGCCCCCACAACAAACGAGACACCAAATGAGGCTGGAGAGAGACAGAGCTTCTCTCAGACTCAAAGACATCAAAGCTGGCTCTATGGTATATGAGTTAATCACATCCCTCAAATTTGATCCTAGTTCAAAGGATTAAACTTCTTTAAAAAATTGTGGTAAAATTAAGAGTTAACATTTAGAACAAAATCACCATCAAATTTAACCTGTGCCACAAAGAAAAAATCTATTTGATTATTCTCATCTGAGCCTGAGGAAAAAGTCAGACTCCCCTAAGAATCTTTAAATTATTTTTAAGTTAAATTATATTAAATGTGTAACTGACAAATATAATTAAAGTATATTAACTGTCGAGCCTCAAAACTTGAATACTCATAACCCTCCAGAAACAAAGGTTCACAAACCGTTCCCTTTTCCCCCCTTAATTCTAGTTTTTTTTAAATGTTTTGAATGATTTTAAAGCTTCCATTAAAATTTTAAAGACAGTTGATGTCACGATTCCTCTTCCTCTAGTTATTAGTAAGTCTAAGCACTTGTTATTACGTGAAAAGCACTAAGAATATTTCGACATTATGAAATACTCCCAATTTTTTTCAGAAAAAGAAACACATTATCACGCAATCACAGAACTCAAAAAGACCTCAGAAATCATCTAGCCAATCCCCCTCATTTTAGAAATGAGAACTTAAGGCTCAGATAGGTCAAGTGATTTGCTCAAGGTCGTAAAAACTAGTCAGTTCAGACTCAGGATCAGAATTCAGATTTCCAAACTTGTAATCCAGGGCTCCATCCTTTGGCAGAGTTAAGAAATGTCTGCACATAAATGATTCATCCAGAACATCCTCAAAATTGAGTGTAAGAGAAGCAAGCTATATGGTAGTGACTGAATATAGCTCTTCATACCAAATAGAAGTTGCCAGTCCCTGCACTGAGGCCTGTGTCTTTCTGAGGACTGTGCTTTTCTGGAAGGCTGGAAAACACAGGCCGGGGCACCTCTCTGTTTCGTTCTTGCTGCCGGACAGCATCGGGGCCAGGAGGCGAGTCTGGTTCCACTTTGATTGAAGCCAGCAGTTCTGGGGCACTGGTGTTTCCCGGTGGGGTGCTTGAAGAGGTCAGTGTGGTGGTGTCTGCTGGTAAACTGCTGCTGGAGGTCAAAGCCTGTGGGTCCTGACTCAAGTTCTTCACAGGCAGAGCTACCAGACAGCCTAATGCTCCTGTACTCACAGTCTGCACATCATCCATACTGAAGTTGCTTTGCTGAAGAACTGTGCCTGCTGTCCCGAGAACAAGAGGGCTGTCCAAGCTTGGAGGAATGTCACTGTGGGCCACCAAAACCAGCGGGTCCATCGGCCCTAAGGAACTACTATTAGGAAGGTTCCCTCTGAGAGAGGAGTTCACAGAAGTCACGTCAATAGTCAGGATTCCAGAGGTCAGCGCCTCGTCCGAGGCCCCTGCTGCACCACTACCATCAGCAGGTGCATCAGAGAAGAGCGCCGCCAGGTCTATGTTGTTGAGCTCGCTTTGGCCTGGGCTGCTGAGTTCACCTCTGAGTGGGAGAGAACTCGGAGCTCCTAGCTGAGGGAAGAGATCTGAAAAAGGAATAAACGCACTAGTTATTGTATGCCCTTAGAGGACTAAGAAGTTTTACTTGTACTCAAGATGAGGCTACCCATTAAAGGCAACATCTACTGCCTTCCTCCTCCCATGGCACACTGAAAGTGGCCACATACTGAACAAAGGCAGTGTGATGACACGTCAGGCATTTTACATATGCTGTATCAAATCCTCTAGCTGATGGAGGAAATGACGTAAGAGTCTAAATAACATTTCTAAGGTCACATTAACTGGTAACAAGACTTAAATCAATGTCTTTCTGGCTTTAAATCTTGTACTCTTTCTGCTATACCACAATAGCTATACCTGAAGACTGTACAACTTCCCATGGCACACCAATCATCAGGAGTCAGATACAAAGTGAATCCTGGTTCTGAGGATACTTCTGGTATCAGCTTATATCAGCTCGTCTCATCAAGTTCTATGCCTCACTCCAAAGCTAGCTGCCACACTGAAACAGGTATGTCATCTGGGGGTGATCAGAGGAGAAAAATTGGCCTGTGGGTCCCAGCTCTAGGGAGCTGCATATAATTTAGAGATTAGGTCCCCCAGGCACTTTGGAGATGGACTCGCTTCCCCACCACCATTTTATTCCCAACCTCTAATACTCCTCCACCCCACCCCTGCTATGATCATTTTGAGGGTGCAGAGTCTGTCTGACCATCTTTGTCCCTCAGCACCAGGCACAGGGCTTGGTCCTTAAGCATTTAATGTTACAGTAGAAACAATTCTAGTAGATTGCTCTTCACTTCGTCTTACTTACTGGTCCTAATACTCTAATTATTTGTTATGCAATTAAGTAACTTAAATAATCAGAACACACTTGGTGGAATAATGAACATTATCATAATTTTTTAAAATTTCAATGAATATTCAAGTTGGGAGTTTATACACAAGTACACCCAATCATCCCAAATCCGGAGCCAAACAAGGACCTGATGTTATTCTTTCTTAAGAAATTCCTACTTGCAGCTTCTAGAATGTGCCAAGGCCCCAGCCAGAGGAAAAAAGGCTCTCAGTTTCTGGCTCTATTCCTGCCACACCAACCATTAGCTAATCCCAAACTCATATTTTCCGGTGTAGACATCAGGTCAGAGTGCGTATTATATTTCCTATGCAGATCTATACAATAATCTACTCTAGACCCCCTCAAAATAAATTTAAAAATAACCAAATTTGGAATATATCTTCTTTAGTTGTCATATTACTTCAAAGTTTAAAAACAGAATTGTTATTGTTTCTTCATTACATATCTCTTAATACCAACAATGAAACATTTTAAAACAAAATGACAGTGATTCTTTGAAGAAATTAAAAATAAAAACTCTCTCTCAAAACTTTCCAAAAAACTCCCTTGACAATCTTGAGGATTCAGCTCCCTATGAAAAGATTAATAGTAATAATCTTAGTGCAATTAGATACCAATTTGTTCATAAATTCCCTATTTAGCACTTTATTAACTCCACAGATACTTACTGGAGACCTTCTATGTGCAAGAGCCAGGTGTTTAAAAAACCCACTAAATAAACATTAATTAATAGAGCATCTAGCCTAAGGTTACAATCATGACCTTGCTCCAGCCCTTCTTTACCTATGTTACCTCAAGCAAATCCTTCCCGTTTCCATCTCAGACTCTTTGTCAGTGAGAGTAGTGAGGAGCCCAGAATCCCAGGACTACTATGAGGGGGGACTCAAACACCTAATCCAGGGGCTACCAGAGCCCCTGGCAAAGTCAGTCCACAATACACAGGCGTTCCCAAGCATCTATTTCTCATGAGGTGAGCACTGGGCCAACACCTGGTCATCTACCCCTAACTTGTGGCAGGGAAGAATGACACACTAGTAAGTCAATGTCACATCATAAATGTAAAGCCTGGAAAATAGGCATTACTGAAGCACCCAGAGAATGAATGGTGCCGTTGCTGACTTTTGAAAGAGCCAGGCTAGGAAAGGGGAAGGAGAAGAGAGGCTGGGTGCAGGGTATCACAGAACACCAACTTGGAGCTGGGCAGGTAAGTTTTAGAGACAGAGGCAGGAAACTGATTGATCACTGAGGGCCTGTGAACACCAGCATAAGGCACTTGACCAGCTTCTGTGAGCCGAGGGGACAGTCTCTAACTCCTCAAGACACAGTGTCTAGAAGGGAAGCTTCTTTAAATACAAAGCTAAACAGCAATCACTGTTATAGCCAAAGGAGGGAATAAGTGACCACACAAAACAGGATTAAAAGAAGCCAAAGGAAGGGCACAAACATTCACTGAACTAAACTACTCATCGAGCTCTGCTCTAGGCACTTTAACAGGACATTTCATTCTGAGAATCACTTAAATTCTTTATTTGAAAGACAAAGAAACCAGAGCTGGCAGACCTGTGCCCTGCCTAGGATCAGCTGGGAAGTTGGCTGCCCTCCAAGGCTGGTGCTGTCACTTAGAAGAGCCTGGCTAACACACTCAGGTAACTCTGGCTAGCCAGGATTTCACTGGCCAGGACCTGCCAGGCACTGCAACCCCACCATGCCCGAGAGCAGGGTGATGTGAGAGTTCTAGAGGAGGTCACCCAGACCCCTCAACATCCTGACTGAAGGACTGTGCATGTGGCCTCAAGAGGCAGGATTCTAAAAGTTCTACGCCACCATGTAGCCAGATGAACAAGTCCTCGTGTGCCCAGACTCCCCCTCTGAAGAACTGCCATGGTTCCCTCTCAGCCCTCACACCCCTGCCCCATCCACGTTCTGAAACACAACTGTTCTTGTTTTCAAGGACTTTCCTCAGCAGCAGGAAGAAAAGGAGACAGAATGGTGTGCTCAGAAAGAACCATAGGACTTAGAAAGAGCTGAAGAAGATAGAAATGGTGGAGGAGCAGACTCAGAACTTAAGACAGAGTCACAGGGGGATAAAATTTAGGAGACATATGCTGGGAAAACCCAACAACATGGCATACTGAATGTTCTTCAAGGTAAGCACTCAGACAAGGAAGGATAAGAGAGGCAGAGTCAAGAAGTGGCAGGAGAGGCCAAAGAGACGACCAGGCTTGGCAGCCACGGTCCCTGGGCTGGTAAGACCTTACTGCATAGATTAGCTTAACCTAGGACTTAGCCAACTTCTGAAAGGAGCTAAGGAAGGAATGACACCCTTTTGCTTCTCTGACACAGGGCGAGTTTACACATCTTTGTAGCTCCCTAAAAGAAACACAAATGAAGCCAACCTGCGCGCCGGCTGTGCTGCCTGACCACATGTGCCTTCATGCTGTGCTTGGAGGTGAAGAGTCTATTACAGCTGGAGACTGGGCAACGGCTTTTTGGAGCAACCACATCCTGCAGGTGTTTCTTGGAGTGAATGTACAGACTGCTACGAGCAGAGAACCTGGCACAGCACCCTGGAACAAAAAGAATGGTGTGTGTTAAACCTAGAGATTACCAAGGAACCAATGCTGACAATTTCCTCATCATATCAGAATCATAAGACAATGCATGTCCATGTTTAGGCCGCTGGCAAGGGCCTAAACACCAATACCCATTGGAGCAGCATCTTAAATTAAATTTGAAAGCAAACTCTGTTTTTAAAAGGAGATTTGAAGTTCCACATCATTTGTGTACAAGATGTGTGACCTTGGACAAGTTAACTCTGAGCCAGTTTCTTCATCCATTATGCAGGGCTGCTGGAAAGATTAAGTTAAATTAAGTGTTAAACAACTCCTTAAATATTCAAGTACTAAAAATTTATACTAATCATCTCAATCATCTCTACTACTATAAAAACAACCATAATCCTGTGACATTTAAGGTTAGAAGCTATCTCAACAGATCTCCAAGACCAATTCCTCTCATTTTACCACTGAGAAATTGATGTCAGAGGGACCGAGCAAATGGCACTAAGTTGGAGACACAAGCCTGGAGCTGGCACTGCCTTGTTAACTACTCAACTGCTTAACTAGTCAGTAAGATCACAGACCTGCAACACAGGGTCAGAGGAAAAACGAGACAGATTAAAAAATACAGCCACCTTCCTTCATGCCCTGATTTTCCACTGCTGGAGCTCTACACCACAGGGACAGAAGGGGAAGTGGGGTTTCTGGCAGCTCATGACCTGGTAGGGACATGTAACAAGTAGCTGTCATAATAAAGGGCAGAATAAACCCAGCTCTAGTGCCATGATGCGTGGTGAAGCAGAGGAAATGGTACACCTCCTGAGAGGATAGAGAAAAGGTTTCAGGAGGCAGGTAGCACATGAGGTTACTGGGCCTCAGCAAGTGGTAGGGGCAGCTGCAGCAAAGCAAAGGGCAACCAGGCCAAGGGAGCTGCCAAGCTGTATGGATGCCACAAAGGGCAGCGGGCCAGCTGGATCCCAACTCTCCCTAGGCCCCCGGCTAGCATGCGGCCTTAAATCCTTTCGGAACCTCCCTTTTCTTTTCTGTAAGTAGGACTAACACCAGCCTCACAGGAGTTACGAGACTAAAGAAGCCAATGCCGACCTACAGAGTGCTCACACAGTGCCTGACAAAGTGGAAATGAGCATCATTACACTGTAGCTACGTTCTGAGTGGTGAGGTGCAGCTGCTGGGATCCAGGCAGGAAGGCGAGCTATTATAGGAAAAGAAGCTATAAAGACGATAGGATATGGCCAGATGAGTTAGGGTTTTGGCTGTCTCTGAGAGGAGTTTTGAACTTATTTCATTTTCAAACAAAGCTTCAATCTTGTTTCCCAGTCAGGCTCATGATAGGACATTTGGAAAACACAATACAGAAAACAGATGCTGTAGGTCTCACCCCCAGGCGCCCTGTCTATGATGCCTGCTGTGTTCCACATGGTGCATGGGAATACCCTTTATCTGCCATGTCCCTGACCCCATTTTCCAGCGGGAAGGCCTCAGCACAGATTTCTAGAGGCAGTTCACAGAGCAGAGGTACTGAATACACTTTTCAATCAAACTGCTTTCCCAAGGACACAGGTCAACCACAATGGGGATGTCTGCTACACTCTCACCAGCACTGAGTTTCCTTTTTTTTTTTTAATCCTCACCCTAGGATATTTTTCCCACTGCTTTTCAGAGAAAGTGGAAAGGAGAGAGAGAGAGATAGAAACATTGATGTGAAAGACACACATCGATTGGTTGCCTCCCACATGTGGTGCTGGGGGCCGGGGATTGAGTCAAGGTGTGCCCTTGACCGAAATCAAACCCGAGACCCTTCAGTCCACAGGCCAATGCTCTAACTACTAAGCCAAACAGGCTAGGGCATGAGTTTCCATTTTTAAAATATTTGCTAATCCAAAAAGGAACAAAATATATTTCATTTTAATTTGTATCTCCTTTGATAACCAGGACTGTAACTATTTTCTCATGTGTTAATGGTTTTCTTTCCTAATTACAACATTATCTTCTGAGACTTGTGTCAGCTCTATACAAATCAAAGATATTCATAAACAGCCATCCACCTTTAAACCAAGTCACCTCACCCACAGGAGGGGCGAAGCAGTCCCTCAATGACAACCTTCCCTCCAAATCCCCAACTCCACAGGCATCTGCTCAGCTCGCATCATCATGCATAGTGATCACACAAACATCTACCAACCTTGACTCCCTGTGACACTCTGCCACATCAGACAAGGTCACCTACTCCATCACATGTACCCTAGAAAAGCTCCCATCCCGTCCATGTTGTCCTCGCTCCCTCACCTGCCCTCCCTCATACATGCTCGCTGCCGATGGCTCTCTATCCTCTCCCCCTCTTCCTGTTGCCGTGGAAAAGGCGTGTAGTGGTTGTTTCTTAACTTTTTATTATGGAACATCTACAAAAGCAGAGAAAATGGCATCATCATCCAGACTCAAGAATGATCAACTCTTACCCAATCCGAAAGTGGGCTCTGGGATCCTTCTACCAAGCTCCTGCCTTTACCGCCGCTCCCCGAGAAGAGCAGTCTCAACCAGCCAAAGCCCCATCTCCCCTCTCCATTATCTGCATCTCCCTACTTATACCATAGCCAGCAACTGCCCTCTCTTCTTTCCTTCAACCACCTATAGAAAGGGACAGACAGCGCAAGCATCTCCAGCCTCACCCTAGCCCACCTCTCAGGCACCAGAGCAGAGCTCTGCCCCAGCTACTCCACTGAACTTCAAACCTCGCTCCATAAGCAGGGAGATAGAGGAGCTCCACAAATTCCTCACCAACCCACTGCACCTCAGCACTCGGGACTGACTCCCCTCCTTTCCCAAACATCCTCCTCTCTTGGTCTCAGTGCCATTAACTCTACCACTCTTGCCAGTACTTCGTAGGCTCCTCCCAGGGTCCTCTTCTACTTTTTCACCTGAATTTGTGGCAGTACCCAGGGTTTTGTCCTAGGCCTTCCTTGGTTAATAGCAACCATAACAACAGCAGTAGGTGACCTTTTCTGATGGTTTATATGTGCCCTAATTAAACTTATTAACTAATCAAACCCTCACAACAACTCCATGAGGTTTTATTACCACTTTGCAGATGAGAAAAAGAGGCAGTGAAAGCTTGAGCTGCTTGTCCAAAGTCACAGAGCCACTTAAGGGCAGACCTGGGGTTTGAACCTAGCAGTCACACTCTTAATCACTACACCTCTCTTCGATACACAGATGATCCTTGAACAATGCAGGGTTAGGTGAGCTGATCTCCTACCCAGTTAAAAATCCATGTAAGACTACAGTCAGCTCTCCAAGTATGCATATTCCCACCCACAGAGTTGACCCTTGAACAACATGGGTTTGAACTGCGTTGGTCAACTGAACTGCAGTCAACTGAAAAAAATCTGCATGTAACTGGACTCGCGCAGTTCAAACCCATGTTGTTAAGGGGCAAATGTACACTGTTCCTTTAGAGTTACATCCATTTCCATGGTTTAAATGATTCCTGGTGTGCTGCCTGCCTCACTCTAGCCCACCTACTCACCAAGCCCCAGCAGTACAGTGCCCTGCCCTCCGAGCATCTGCGTTTGGAAGCCCATGGGTACCTAAAATGCACCATGTGCAGATGGAACTCCTCTTCCTCCGACCACCTGTATTCCCCTCTAAACTGAGACACTAACCCCAACTACTGCCTCTCCCACAACCCCATCTTCCAATTCCCTCACCAAGCACTGTTAATTCTAACTCCTATCTCTTCTGTCACTGCCTCTCTCCCTGCCTGCCGCCAAACCCCAGTCCAGGCACCAGACCGTCTCTCCAGGAAACCAGGCTGAGCCTAAACTCAAATATGAATCCATCACTCCCCTCCCCCACACTCAAGAGCCTGCTGCTCTTATAGCACTGGTCCTCCTCGTGCTGGCCTACCTGCCATTCCCACCCCTGACAAGCTCTTCCTCACTCTTCAGCTGACTAGGAGGCCATTCCCATGCCCTAGAAACAGTCTGGGTGACCTCCTTTGTGCCCCCAAAGCACCCTGCATGTTACCTATCTATCTACCCCAACTGAGCTCTGATAAAGAGAACTATGTCTTGATTATACCATCTCTGTTACATTCATTACCTTGTAGGAACTGGTCTCAGCTTCAAATGGGCCTTTATTAACCCTTTTCCAGATAAGGAAACTGAGACCCAGAGAAACTTGCCTGAGGTCTCCAACTTAGGGAAGGGTAGAGCCAGGACTCAAATTCACAACTGTAAACTGACCTAACTCTGCCACTCCCTAGTGCCTCTGCAGCAAGCACTAGAGTAAAGCCAGCAGGGTCAAGCCACACAGAAGACTCTTGGTGAATGAATCATACCTTTGGTGTTTTAGAGAGGGAAAAAACACCCTAATACAGTACTACCTTTTTAGAAAGCCAGCCTAGCTTTACTGCTAATTGAAGCATGAGTAGCATCCACTTACAGAATCCATGGTATGTGCCAGATGCCGAAACAGGCATTTTTCACATTACTTCACCTAATCCTCACAACCACCAAATTAAACAGGTAACTAACTAGAGCCACAGATCTAGTGAGTGCAATGCAAGGCCAACAGTCAAACCAGGTGTGATTCGAATCTGTTCTTTCCAATACAATGCTCCTAAGATAGAGCAATCAACTAAAAACCAAGTAAATCTAACACTACAACTTAACACTCACCTTGTCTTTAAGCAACTAAAACTTCCCTTTAAAATTACAACACCGATGTGGACGTTGTGCTAGTTTACAGCTCAAAGTAACGTATTAAAATCTACCTTCCACAGGACACTCGAATGGCTTTGTGCCCAGGTGGGTGATGCTGTGACCTTTCAGGTGCTCTGCTCTCGTGAATGACTTCCCACAGCCTTCAACAGGGCAGGTAAACCTCCGATCATCATCATGTTTCCTGCCAGAACAGAAAAACATGACACTGATTACTCACACAACCGGGAGGCACCAGGTCTCAGAGATAATTCTTTGTTTTAAATTCTGCAGAATATACCACACTACAAACTCTTCACATTAAAAAAAAAAAAAAAAAAACAAATCAGTACATTTCAGAAAATCTTGTCTCTATAGCCCACATGGGCAGATTTGCAGTTTAGCCACCCTGTAGTTAGAAATTCCACTTTAATGACCTAGCTGACCCCAGAGTTAGACAGATAAAAATCAGTGCTGCTTCAATCTAGAAACAGCTGAGTCCCAATGGATCAATAAAGCTACTTCCACTGTTTAGTACTCTCAATAATAAACAAGCTTTCCAACCTACAGAGGGCAATGAGAAGTGTGCAGAGAAAATCTGCAATGCTAAAAGGACCTCAAGCTCATGCATAAACAATGTCTTTTCCTGAGAAACATTTTTATATTAAACTCCTCAAACCCCAGCTGTGCAAGCATGGACAAACCACCCAACCTTGAGTGACACTGCAAAACAGAGAATAAGAACATCAGAGTCAGAGTTGTAAAGATTAAATGAGATACACAGAAGTGCTACGCATCACCTTCATGTAGGCTAAGCCCTCCAAGCCATCATTATCACCATGGAAATTTTGTTTTCACATGAGGAAAGCTTATTTTACATGTTGATTTTCTTAAAAATACAGAATTGTACATAAAGGGTACAAAGTAAATTTAAAAACAAGTATACACAGAAAAAACTGACTTTAGGTGATCAGATTCTCAGTGGTTTTCTTCTTACAGCTTTCTGAATTTTCCAAATATCTACACTGGACTTTCCTTATAACTTAAAAAAAAAATCTGCAGATAATTTACCCATAGGCTTCTGCTAATAAAAAGCATTCAGTTTCAAAACTTAAAATTTAACCAAAATATAGAGATTACCTTTTGTGCCTCAGGAGTTTAGACATGCTGGTAAAGGTCCAGCCACAACTGTCAGAGTCACAAATAAAAGGTCTTTCACCTTAGAAAAGAAAAAGTTATGCCACGTAATTATAAATGCAAACTACTACAAAGACAAATCTTGGGTACAAATGACACTGTATTCTTTAGCTCATTACCTGTATGACTTCTCAGGTGTATTTTCAGGCGACAGGCTTTGTCGTACTGTTTGCTGCAGCCAGGAAAGGAGCAAGAAAAGAGCTCCTGTTCTCTGAAGTGGGCACGGTTATGGGAAAACAGAGCACTAACCGTGATGAAGGTCTTCTCGCAGCCTAAACAAAGAAAACACAAACCTGCTCACTGGTGTAGAAAAATTACAGAAGACAGCTACACTACCAATCTTCTAGGAAACTACTGGTACTGAAGCAGACAAGGAAATGATTCAGAAGCACCTCTACAGTTACTACCATTGACATCTGGCTTTGTAATAGCTAAAACAGGGGTGGCTACGGGCAGCCAACAAACACACACAAACCACCTGTTTTGATGTGACTTAAGAGATGAAGGACCTGATCAAGGAAAAGTCCTCCAATCACAGCCATCTGCTCCAGTTCTGTGGCACAGATGATGCATATATTTTGTGAACTCAAATGTCAATGCTGCCAGTATGAGACTCAAGAAAATTCAATGAGAGAAATTAGATGCTAAGGAACAACACTTTTGTCTGTTGAGCTTGGAAAGGCCACAAACCATCATACCTGAGACTTTTTAACCCCTTGGGGTGATGCTACATCCTTTACACTTATAAATGTCCTCCCTGACATCTTCTGCAATGGGCAGCCCCCACCTCTGTCACCTGGCTTCTTTTTTTCCTGTTGCCCATTTCCTGAAGGCTCTCTGTTCTGTTAAAGCTTACTGGAATCATCTTCACTCACATGGTCTTTTCCATCACTTCCATCTTCAGCCCCCAGTTGAGCCACCAGCCAAAGAAGCCTACCTGAGCAACTCCCAGACTTTCCACACCAATAGTTCTCCTTTGACCAAAATATCCAGTGCTCAAATAGGGTGGAAAATACCAGGCCGCAAGATGCTTGTCAGATGTCTTCATAGCAGCTCTTCTCAGAGCCTTTAACACACTACCACAGTGCCTGTAAACCACCCAGCAGATACGTACTGTACAGCTCCACATGAAAGTACTGGCCCGAGGAACCCTACTCTTCCTGGCAACACTGAATGGGGAAAATCAACCTCTCTAAATGCCCTATAATCATCCTCTTTGCCATAAATCTACACACACACACACACACACACACACACACCACCTTTCCCTGTTTGGGGCTTTAGTGAAGTCATACACTTGGTCAGGTAAATATGAGGATGCTGAATCTCTACCTACATAAGAATGAACCACCCTTCTCAAATCGACAACTCAGCCCTTTATTCTGCCTCTGCATCTAGAGCTTCCTCACCATTCCAACTATTACTACCTAGACCAGCCCTAAGGAAAGTCGTATCTGGAACATTTCTTGGGGCTTCACTGATCCCTCTCCTGCTTCTACCCCATCTCGAACACCGAAACCCTGGTGATCACCTAGCTCAAAACTTCAAGGAAGACCTCACACTATAAAGCAGGCTGGATTCCCAATTTTCCTAGTATTATACTCAGAATCATGCTCTCTTTGTATTTTACTAGGAAGCAGTCTTTAAGCCACTGTCAGATTCCCAGGGTGTACAACTGAAAAAGGTTTCCAATCAGTGGCCTAAAGCCATATTCTTCTCCTCGAAGAGGGACACACAAAACAATCTACAGCATGTGGGAAGAAAACTCTAGAGACTCTTGTTTTTCATTTCACTCTTTCAAAATCCCTATACTTGAATATATTTTATAACGTATACATTAAGAGAGCACTAAATATATACATGTCAATACACACACGGGGCCCATACTAGGTGCATGCTTGCCTTTTTGTTTTAATGAACTGGCGGTGGAAGGTCCTTCACCCTATCTTGGCCCTCACCACAGCCCACATTCCCTGTCGTTGCTCTACAGTTTCACCCACCAGTGATGTCTCCTACCCTACTCCCCCCAAACCAACTCCCTCCCAAGAAGGAATGTTCTCAGCCTCCCTGGAGGCACTATCTTAGAGCACCTACACCTGCCTATCCCGGTGAAGAGTTCACTGAGTTCATTGTGTTGAAATGAAGCTATCTCCCCACCACTGTAGGCAATCACTGTGGAGAAAGAACCACCACTGGATTTCTTTTCCACAATGCTCAGCCTCAGTCACTTTATCTATAAAATGAGGACAATTTTAAGAACTTGACAAAACTGTCTAGTCCAAAGAACGGTATAAAAGGCACAGAATCTGTGCTACACCATTTAAAGGTGCTACACTACATCTAGCCACTCATCCGTGTTCCTCCAGCACCGTGTGCGCGCCCAACAAATATCTGAGGGGTGAATATTTCTAAATGATGAGACCGAAGAAAATAAAGGCCTGTCTCACAACAAATCTCTGAGAAGATGAGTTATTTCTTTCACTAATCAGAAGAACCTTCAGAGAGACCTGTTGCAACCACCACGGGGAAGGACAACTGTGATTACTTGCGGTACCTCGCTGTCGTAATCCCCACAGTAATGCAGGGCTCAGGTACCCTGGGAAGACGCAAACACCAAACATAGGAGCGCTTCCGTTCCCGCCCCTCATACTTGGCCCACCAAGTTTAAATCTTGCCCAACCCAGTCACCACACCCACTATGAGCGACTGGGTTTGGACCTGGAGCCAAGGAACCCCGACCCCGCCGCAGCCCGCCCGCAGGCCCTGGGTTACCAGGAAAGTCACACTTGTAGGGCCTCTCCGGCTCGAAGTGGCTGCGCTGGTGGGAGCTGAGCTTGGCCTGCGTGGGGAAGCGCTCCGCGCACACCTCGCACTTGAACAAGTTCTCCTGCTCGTGGCCCTTCATGTGCGCCTTGAGGTTGTACACCGTGGTGAACTTCTTGCCGCAGCCCCCCACCGGGCAGCCGAAAGGCCGCAGCTTGTCGTGCGACTGCAGGTGCCGCTTGAGCTTATAGGAGGTGGTGAAGGCCCAGCCGCAGCCGTCCAGGGGGCACTTGAAGGGCCGCCGGCCCTGGCTGCTGCCGTGCGTCAGCAGGTGCACCTTCAGCTGGTGCTTCTTGGCGAAGGAGAGCGCGCACTGAGGCTCGGGGCAGCGGTAGCCGAGCGTGCCGGG